TTTTATGTGGAAGATGCCTAATGATTGAGAAAGATTACAAGTCCTCTATATAGGCCATCAAATTCCCTTATGTGACTTCAAAAGGGCATAACTTGGCCAATTTTTATCTCCTAGAGCCCATTCCTTTTCCATAATGATCTTAAGGATGTGAACTACAACTCTTATTTTATGTGCAAATCTTGAAAATGAATGGAAGATACCCTAAAGATGCAAAAGATTATAGGTCATCTCATGAATTTTCACCAATTTTGCAAGACCATAACTCTTTCAATACTTTGTATTTTTTAGTGATTCAAGTTCCAAAATGCACTTTGGGAAGTATATTTCAAGCTAGCATCATTGATCAAAGCAATATTTTGGAGGAAGGCCTTGTTTGGAATCAAAACATTATAGGTCATTTTTGAAGAAAAACTTAGAATTTTTCTAAGTACAAAAAGTCAGCATCTTTTTCTCAACTTTGACTCATCACAACTTTCAAATCAAGCATCCATTTGATTCCATTATTTTCATATTGTGAAGTTTTTGATCTCATCTTTCCAACACATCAAGAATCAAGTCATAAAGCTTCCTGAATTGTGCACTCCATGATTTCAAAGTTGGTACCTAGGAACTAAAGCTTCTCAAACAGTCAAAATGCAATATCCATAGTTTGACTTCTAATCACCAAATGTGTGCGTGTTTTCTACTTAAACATGATTAGCATAAACATGTGGATGATTTAGAGTGTCAAAATGCATCATTTGGTTGAGTTTTGATGCACATGTGATCACACTTATTTCATGAAAACAGGTGTGCACAATTTTCCTCCAAATTGCATCATTCACCAGTCCTCTTGATTTTGTTCACTTCTCTTATAAATGCGGGCTCTATCCCACTCATTTTCGCAAGCTTAGAGAGCCAGAATCATCCTATCAAACTTTCTCTTGAAGCCACTTTTCTAATATTTCGAATTTGGTTTTCTAGCTTTCCTCAATCCATTTTCTTTGTCAATTCTTCATCCTTGAACTTCACTGAAGCTAACAGAAGAAGAACCAAGCTCTAAGAATTCCTAAATTGTGCTAGCCAAGTCAAGTTTCAGAGCTCTAAATTTGAACTTCAATAGGTAGATTCCTTCATCAATTCTCTAAAATGTTGGTACTGTATTGAAGCTCTCATCATTTTGATCCTAGTCGCAACATTTGTTTTCAACTGGAAGTGAGTTTTGGCCATGAATTTTCAAATCCCATTTCAATTCTTTCCTTCCAAAACGACTGAGCTACACCTTACATAAATTTTTCGCGAGGGTACCATTGGAATCGTCTTGAAGAGACGAAGCGAATGGTACCACTCTCGAGCTCTAATTTTTCCATTTTAGAGACCTGCAATTCGCGTGGCTGGAGGTTGAAAATGACCAACGTGTCATCTCCCAATCAATGATATCGTGCCATTTGTTTTTTTTTAATTCGGATTTTAATAATTGATTCAGTGCTTTATTCACTAATGTCCATGATATGCACATCGCGCCAAATCCCTTGGAGTTGATTACTAACGCGTTTTGACATTGATCCAATGGTTTACATCTTTTTTGGTTTTTATTTTATTTTCTGATTTTATATTTTATTTGTTTTAAACTTCAAAATTTTATTTTGACTTCAAAAATCTGAAAAAATTCTTAAAAATACTTTTGATTTTTCTCTTTCTGATAATTATGTTTTCACAATTTTATTTTGTTTTTTGGTATTTTTTATTTTTTTTCACTTTATTTGAGTTATTTTAAATGTTTAAAAATACTTTTCTTAATTTTTAAATTCTGGAAAAAAAATATGGAAGGATCCAATGACCTCTTGATAAATATTGGTGACCTCATTTTATTTTTATTTTTTACTTTACTATTTTTCATAATTTTTTGTTTATTTTTCTTCTTTATTTTAATTTTTAAAATAGTTTCTGACTTTAAAAAATTACCAAAAATTTTATCAAAATATTTAAGCTTATTTCTGATTTTTCTATGGTCTCATTGAATTTTTCTTAGATGTTTTGAATGTAATTGCTATTTTTCCCTTTTATTTTCATTTAAAACCATTTTTAAAAAAAAAAACTTTTCTTTATCTCTTTAATACAATTTTATTTTTGTATATATTCTGGCTGATCTTGAACTATGAAATTTTGATCATGAGCTTCATTAACATCATTGGATCTTGGGTGTTGAGTTTAACCCCACCAAAATGGATGATTGATTTTAATGATAGCTTTAAATTTTTGGTTCAAATGTGATTTGATTCTTATCCCTTCCCTCTTCATCTTATCCACTTCTTACTTGTACTACATGTTGTTAGAAAATGATTTACATATCATTTCTCTAAACATATGGTACATAGATTGCTATTGACCGACCTCAAAATAAGTGCGACTTCAATATAAGTCCACTTACGATTGCTTAACGTAGTGCTAAATTTTGTCCTGATTTGAGAAATGATCATTCGTGGCCCAAACCTATGTTTGCAAGCCCAAGTATGTTAATTTGAAACCTTTGATCCAATAATCTTGTGATTCATTATTAGGAGGCTTCGGTCTTATCAATCCTCTAATGAATCTTCATAAGCATTGGTCAAAGTGAATCACTTAAACATCATTGATCATTTATTGTTGTCTTGAGATTTTGAGATGAATGATATACTTGACAAAAAGCAAATGAAACTTGTTGTTGATAGGCTTTGTTTTTATCAATCCTCTAATGAGTTTCAAATGCAAGTTTCAAAATGGTCATTCAACTAACCTCTAATTTCTAACAATTGACTTTATTTTATACCTTTACTTTATGCTCTTTACTGTATGCACCATTTATTTTAGCATTTTTATATTTCATGCTATTTTCATCTTTACTCACTTGAGCATTTACTTTTATGCCATTTTTGATTTTCTCCCTTAATCTTTTCATTTCTTTTTGAAGATACTTAATAATCAACTTGAACCATAAAAAACTTTAAAGTTACTTGGACTATTTGGTTACTATCCTTGGCATTATGGAGTGAGGGACTTCTTGGACTTAGGATTAGAGATCTTGACCTACCTCGAACCCCAAGACATTGGGTTGTTGTTTTTTTTTATGTGCAGGTTATTTCTGATTATATGCTTTGGTGGGGAATTTTTCTATATACAGCTGTTACTCTGCCCAATTTTTGTGAAGACGTAATGCATTTGAAGTTTGATTCTCAAGATATTATATTGTCCTTATTTGTTTGGTTTCAATCCAAAGAGTGTGAATTCTACATTGACTCATTATGTCAAGTGTTGGATTCTTGTTGGTTAGATGGTTCTTTTCCATAGATTTTATCTTATGCTTTAGGATAGTCCATTCATCTTCTCCCATCTTCTTTAATTTCAAAATCTTCTCCCTCCTTTTCAAAACTATTCATGTTTTCTAAACTTGAACAATTTTCACAATAAACTTGGGCTTAGGTCCATGCATTTTCAAAAAATGTTTTCTTAATCAAATTTTAATCAACTTAATAATACCTTAACATTTTTTTTTGCGAGAAGACTAAAAGTCAATCAATCTCATTCAAGCTATTTGGCCACTTTGGCTTTTTTCTTTAAAATTTTCTCAAAAGATTAGACTCTTGTCAATCCTTGTAGTGATGCGAGCCACTATACTTCTACGATATGTAGTGAAGTGAGATATTTTCCACTTTGGTGTGTCATACCCTAAATTTATCTGCATTAGTGCTAACGTCAAATAGATTTTTGAACTTGGGTTTTACAGATATACAATTCCTTTGATTTAATTATATTAACATGCTGAGGTTTTTTAATAAAAATTCTATTTCAAGTCTGTTTGAAAATATAATAATTATTTGTAAAAATAGCAAATAATTGTTCATTGTCATATACTTTCAATTGACTTTTTACTTTGGAATAAGTAGCATAGCACAGTTGGTAAGGGAGAAAGATTTGCAAGCAGAAGGTCACGGGTTTGAATCTCGTTTGGTGTACTTTGAATATTTTTGTTGTTTATGGTCTTTATTTTCATTTTCTAACCACAAAAATCATTTTTTTATTATTAAATTTTTATTTTTGTATTTATTTATTTATTTATTATATTTTTAAAATATTATTTTTTATTTTTAAAATGTTTATTTTATTTAAAAAATAGTCAAAATATCTTATAAATAAATAAAATCTAATTTGGGCTTTGGGTATTGGATAGTTTCCCTTTTTGGGGTGTCTTTAACCTAATTTCCACTCTATAAATAGGTATCCTCACTGTCCTAATTTTTCATCCAGAAATATCCATAATTCATCGACAATTTCCAAACATTATCCTTGCTAACTTGCTTTTATAATTCTTTTTTGGTTTATTCTAGGGTTGTTGACTACATCAGACAACAGCTTAAGAACAATATACTTTTCCTCTTTCACAATTTTTTACGCATTTACAAACAACAATTTTTATTTTTGACCGATAATTAACAAATTAATCGTTAGACAAACATGTATATAAATTAATTTAACATGAAACCACCCTTTCTAATTACAATTCCCTTTAAATTTCAATTTATTTGATGTTTAATCATTTTCACTAAACAATTTGTATTATTACTATTTCTTTTCATTTAATAATTTGCATGTCTTACCAACATTATAATACATTATTCTTACTATCACCATTCTTACTAACCAGCCTTGCATCTCTTTCATGACTTACCAGTAACATCAATATTCAAAATAACCGAAACATTTTTTACCACTTCTAACAAATTCATAAACTAAATCAAACAACCTGTAAATACAAAGTAAAAAAAAATCATATAAAAACCTGTGCAAATTTTGTTCTTTTTTTCTTTTGCAGGAAAAACAAGGAATACAAAGGTTTCACCCTCTACTTCAAACTTTCGATCAGTCTTAAAATAAAGTTGCGGCAACAAATTCCAATCGCTTCTCTCTATCTCCAACAACGAAACAAAAAAAAAAACTCGACTCTCGCCTTCTCTTCGCAGTTGCCTTCTCTCAGATATTATCACTCACCAAATCCATCTTCCACGGACGAAACCGTCATCGTCATAATGATCCACAAATCTACCACAAACACCAACGACATTGCTCTCCAATGAACCCTCCTTCATCATCGTCGTAACATCCACCAGATCCCCACACCTAACCATCGAATCCGACCGTCGTGAAGCAACATCCATATACCAAGAACAACAACAGCAACCCTTACCTCACGGATTTTGCCTCCTTTCCACCACAACAACGTCGCCGTCCAACCCTCCAAACAGCGCGGCTGCAAACCCACATGACGAACCTCTTCTCCGGTCGGACTCCTCCGTGCACACATCACCTCCAATTCTGATTTGGTACATTTTCTTCGTCTTCTTGAATGTTTGACTCAAGTGTTGTGTTTACTTTGTGAATCTGAATGTTGAGAGAAAGGAACATGTTTGAATTTTAACAAGATGTATTGGTTGTCTTGAATTTCAATTTGAGATTTCCCGAGAGAAACAAAGAGATGGTGAGAAAGGAAGAGATTTAGTTCGGTTTGGAGGAGATTTGTGGTCTATTTGTTTTCCTCTAATATGAATGCATTGTACCTTTTAGATTTTTTTTTTGTGTTTTAAGGGACACATGTCGTTCTCTCATTGATCGGAAAGAAATGAGGAAAAGGGGAATAGCAATGGAGCGGCGCACTCCACATGCTTCATTTTTTTATTTTTTTATTTTATTTTTTGACATTTAATTCATGTTTAGTTTATTAGGATTAGGATTTGGGCCCAATTAGATCTCTATTATTTTACTTCACACCACTTCTCTTTATTACTTTGGCACCCCCATTTTATAATTACTCTATTTTAGAATTTTGTTTAATCGAGATAATTCTATTAGGTTATTTTAACTTAAATTCATCTTATTAATTTGGATCAATCTAATAGGAAATAGTTTGAATAGTTAGTTTAGTATTCACTAATTAATTAAATATTTTGCAAAGTCATTAATAAACTTTGTTGTTTATTCGGGTCAAGTTCAATTTTTGGATTTGGGCTCTTGCTATTTACACACCCTGTTTCTACTACTTAATATAAACTCCCCGCTTAATTGGGCCCGGTTCAATATCTGAACTTGGGTCTTTACTTGTCAGACCCTTCTATTTGACTACTCAGTTATAAAACGTACCCCTCGGCCAATATGGGCTCAAAATATCTTTGGGTCCAGATTTTCTTCTAATACGCCACTCAGTCTTAATATTCACACCTCGCTCCGTGTCTTAATCAAATCAAATATCAAAGCAGCTAACCAATTATAAACTATTTTTTCTACTAACATAATCAAAAATAAGATGTTTTCGAAAAAAGGATTAAATGGCATTACTTTCGAATCAAACTGCAAACCACGTCTACGATCACCCAACTTACAACCCAAACAAGGCTCAAGGTTAATTCAAAAGCGAATATATGCAATCCTATTAAAAAATACCAACCAACCGCGAACTACGAAATGAGACTCTAATTCCTCCTAAGAGGATACGTAGGCATACGATTAAAATCGTGGCGAGTTCCCCTATTAAAAATTAAAACTCTTTTTTCCCCTTATTAATATTAAAACATTTTTTCCTAAAAAATGCGCTTCTAACCCTAGTATCCTTGTGAACAAGGTAGATGGGGGATGTTTAACACCTTCCCTTCGTCTAAAACCGAGTCAACAATCTAGAATTTGTGTAACTTTTAGGGTTATTCCTTTATACTCCTTTCCTTAGGATAAAAATTAAGGGTGACAACTCTGATTTTAAATCCAGTTGCAACAGGGTGTTGAGTAAGGCTTTGTTAATTTTAAAATCCAGACCATGTCATCCACTTTGAGATGAAGCAAATTCTCCTTTCTCATAATTGTGTGTAGTAAGTATGTTTTCCAATCAGATAAGACGATGATGTCTCGTCTCTTAAAATTAACCAACACACTTGTGTTTTTAAATTTTTAAAGGTGAACTACGAGTACCTTGACCCCCTATTACACGGAAGGTGGTACGTAGGCACTAAAGGTTCGCAACCGCGGCAGGTACAAAAATTGTAAAAAATATTTCTTTTCTCATTCCCACCCTCTATTTTTGTATACAACATTTATAGCCAAAATTTACAAATTTACAAAGAGGTTCCTCCGGAGTACCGTAGATGTTTAGAATGCTAATACCTTCTGTAACGCCCGTAATTTAATTAATTATTTAATTAAATTATTTTTGGATTATTTGTGAAGTTGTGTTATGATGATAGTTGATGTGTTGTTGTTATTGGATTTAATTATTCTATTAAGTTGTGGAATAATATTGGAATAATAATATTAGAATAATAATATTATTTGATGTGGGCTTATTTTAAGGACTAGAAGTAGTAGAAAGGGGGTGCAGGAGTTTTAAGCCCATTAAGACATAATGAGAATTATAGGGTTAATATACTAGTTATTTAGAATTAATAAGGAAAAGAAGTAGCAGTAAGAAGAAAAGAAAATAAGGGTTGGAAGAGAGAATGAGAACGTGAAAGTTGCAGAAAAGAAGGAAAAGAGCCAGAACATAATTCAATCGAAAAAGTTATAGAGCAACCTTCAATCCAAGGTAAGGGTGGGATTCTGACTGTATAATGGGGTTTATGATGAGTAGTATGTGGGATTAGATGTGAAAAGTTGTCTTGTTTATGATTGAAATGTATATATTGTTGTATGATGAAGATCAGTGATTTAGAGAAGAGTAATGATGCCCTAATGTTGTATAATCGATGTAGAAATATAGGATTATTATAATTGATGATTACCTATGATTAAAGGATGTTTTTAGGGCCTAAGGCAGGGAAATCACAGTGAAAATGCAGTGAAATCGCAGAAAATATTCATGACAGAACAGTATGAGTCGACCTCAAAGGTCATGCGTCGACACATGCAGGCTTTTGGACTCAGTATGAGTCGATACGTAGGACTTTGCATCGATACATGCAGTGTTGCAGACTCAGTATGAGTCGATACAAGAGGGTTACACATCGATTCATGCGGGATTTTAACTCAGTACGCGTCGACTCAAAACATTATGCGTCGACCCATGTAGTCTGATTTTTGGCAGATTCGTTTCCAAAGGCTGTAACTTGAGTTTCCGGACTTTGTTTGAGGTATCGTTTGAAGCGTTGAATAGATGACACGATGGACTTTATTCTTAAGGGTTAAAATGAAGGATATGAAGAATAATCCTAGTACCCAAATTAGGATTAGAGTTAGCTTCCTGCGGTAATCGCTATGATGATTTTGTAAAGTATGATGAAGATAAGATGATTATAGATTATTGCTTGGTTCATAACAGTAAGATTAAAGATGATAATGATGTAGTATTACAGAATAATAATATGTAGAGGTTTGTTAACTATAGGTAAGCCTTGGATGATTAATTAATTATAGGCATTATCATGTTGTAGGCCTACGGCCAACGTTGAGGGTTTGTCAATCTATCGTTGTATTGTTGTTGTGGCTGAGTTGCTGTAAAATTATGTTGATGAATTATGTTGATGAAATTATGTTGATGAATTATGTTGTGAATGATGTTGATGAATGATGTTGAGATGCCTCTAATAATTGGCAGCTATTAAGATGTAGGCTTCTGGCCAACGATGATGTTGTGTTGAGATGTTGTTAATTATGGTTGTTGTTACTACATTCTTGATTGTGTCGCATACATTGCATATCAAGATGGAGTTAATGCTCGTTAAGATGGTCTGTATTGGCGAATATTAAGATGAAGGCTTATGCCTTGTTGGTGCCTCTATTTATTGGAAATTATTTAAGATGGGAGTTCTGCTCCAATGGTACCACATGCATTTGCATAGTATTGAGTCGCGTTATATGATTGCATAAAGAAGTTGTGTATGGATGCGGTAATGTTGTATGTCATTGATGTTCCCTTACGTTTACAGTTGTTTATAAGATGCGAAGTGGTGTTATAATATGAGGTGATCTAACATATTATTTATCATACGTTTTATTATATTGTTAGATATATCACCTATTCTGTTTGAATGTTACCCTTATGTTGATAACGTGCAGGTAATCCAGAATGAAGGAAGTATACCTTCGATAGTTCGAGTCGGTGTCATTGCTCTGATACGTAACACTCGGGGGGATGGACGCTTGTTGTTTTTAATTAGTGATTGTTCTAGTTGTTGAACATTAATTTTATTGTTGCTAAGTATGTGCTATTTTGAAGTTGCTGTAATTGTTAGACAAAAATGTTATTATGATTCCGCTGCGTAGATGTTCAAGTTGTTGAATTAAGAGATTAAATTATTATGCTGATGGTTCATCTGAAGTTTTAAAGTGTTATGTATCCACGTTGAATGCAATGTGTTTTAAGTTGAATTTGTGGCATCATGATTCAGTTGTATGAATTTTAAAACTCTGATTTACATTCATAATTGCATGGTAGAATTGGAGTGTTACAAAGTTGGTATCAGAGAAGAGGTTGGTCCTTCTGACCAAGTTGTCGAGTCGTAGTTGTCTAACAGTCGAGTATTGTTAATTTGAGTTCTAACCATTGTTGATGTTGTAGTGATAAGTTGAGATGGCTGGAAGGAATGATGCTGCACTTGTTGCTGCTTTAGAAGCAATGGCGCATGCAATGGAGAATCATCCTAATGCTAACGGGAATGCTGGGTCTCGTAGTTTGGCGACTTTCCAGAGAGAGAATCCACCTACCTTCAAGGGATTGTTTGAAAGAGATTGAGAGAATCTTTCGTGTGATGGAATGTACTCCAACGCAGAAGGTTCGATATGGTACTCATATGCTAGCAGTCGAGGCTGATGACTAGTGGATAGAGACTTGTCAGAGATTGGAAGCTGCGGGTGAAAATGTCACTTGGGCTGTGTTCCGTGGGAAATTACTGAGGAAGTATATTCCTGAAGGAGTATGTGGTAAGAAAGAGATTGAGTTCCTTGAGCTGAAGCAAGAGAATATGTCGGTTGTTGTGTATGCTGCAAAGTTTACTGAGTTGGATAAGTTTTATCCGCACTGCGGTATGGCAGATGCTGAGTTTTCAAAGTGTATCAAGTTTGACAACGGGTTGCTCCCAGAGATCAAGAAGGCAGTTAGATACCAGAAGATCTGTGTCTTTGCTGATCTGATTGATAGTTGCAGAATTTATGAGGAGGATAATAATGCTCGTTACAAGATTATCAATGAGAAGAGAGGTAAGCACCAACAGAATCATGGTAAGCCTTATGATACCCCAGCTGGTAAAGGTAAACTGAAAGCTGCTCAGGATCAGAGAACTAGTGGGGGAGATGCTCCTGCTGGTGTGGTTTATTTTAAATCTGGAAAACCTTGGCATAAGAGTAATGTCTA